AAAAAAAAAAAAAAAAAGAATTACCAAAAAGTGACAGACACAAAGTGAGTATGTGCTGTTGGAAAAGTGGCACCAATAGATTTGCTTAGTGCTACGTTGCTACTATGTAAAATGCAATAAAGTATCATTCCTGCGTTACATTATGATTATCTTCCTTTTCCTGTACAACTTTATTTTTTACCCTAAATTAATAAATATTAATTTTTATTTCTTTGCCTAGTTTTCTACCTCATTCTGTATACTTGTTCAAGTATGCTCCTGGTGTATTCAGACACATAAGGTATTTTGTCACTTTATCTTGAAGAAATCCTTAGGGAGCCTTTTGATAGGCTCTGGTCTGGACTGTTTGCGCTCGAGGCTTGCAGCAGTGGGTGGTTCTAGGATCTCATCATTCTGGGGATTCTCTTGGGCTGGATCTCCTGTTTCCTAGAATTCTGTAGTTTCATCTTTATTGTTTACTCCTGATTTTAGGGTAACAGATCCTTCAGTGGGTACTTGAGAAAGGTGGAAGGGAAGTAAAAGTTTTGTATCTTCATGTATCTGAAAAAAATCCTTTCCTGCTTGACCCGTGTGCTTAGTTATGTGTTTGGCTGGGCATAGCATCCTAGGTTGGCAATCACTTCCCGTCAGATTTTTAAAAGCTTTATTCTGTTCTGTTTTTTTTTTTTTTAATCCCCTTAGCTTCCAGTGTTCTTTTTGAGAATGTAATGTCATTCCAATTTTTTGTTTTTTATATGTGACTTATTTTTGAAACTTCTCAATGATGTGCTTAGATGTGGATATCTTTTATACACATACTGGGTTCTGCAATTGATGTCATTCAATTAGGGGAGACTTTCTTAAATTATTTAGGTGCTTTCTATTTTTTTGTTCTTTCTGGAATTTTGTTATTCTGCATTTGAGCCCTCTGAAGTCCTCTAATTTTCCCTTATTTACTCTATTTTCCATCTCTTTGTCTTTCTTTTTCATTTTTTGAGGAATTTCCTCAGCTTTATTTTTATAACTCTTTG